AAAAAAAAAAAAAAAAGAAAGGTGCAACAACCTAGAGTTAGAAAATTAAAAAGGAAGAACAGGCTAAGCATATCTTAAACTAAAAGTACTAAAGAAAAATCCAAGCCCCAAGTTGCAATATGGTGAGATTCTGTCAGAAAAATATTGAATCATGCAGGAAGCAACAAAGAAGATGGAAAGAACATACAAAATCCCTGTATCAAATAGAGACAGTAACTGGATGAATGGTTTCTTGGGGGTATGGCAGCAGAGGTTGGGGAGAAATAAGGAGCTAATAACAAGGAGTACCAGAAAGAAAAAAATATTCTAAATTTGATTGTGGCAATGATTGTACAATGCTTCGTGATAGACTAAACAACTGAATTGCATGATATGTGGATGATATGCCCAAATAAGCTGCTAAAAAAAGAACTAGTCAACATTCTACCATTTCAGAGGGTAGTTTAGAAACAAGAACAAATGGTAGAAGGAAGAAGTTCAGGCTGCAGTGAAAGCATTAGTCAAAGCAAGGCCCCAGGAATTGATAGAATACCAACAGATACGTTTCAACAGGTTGGTGAAGCACTCACACATCTATGCCAGGAAATCTGAAAGATAGGTTCTTGACCAACTGATTGAAGAATATCCATACTGGTACCCACTCCAAAAATAACTGACCCAACAGAATGCATGCATTATAGAACAATATCCCTAATATCAAATGCACGTAAAATTTTGCTGAATGTCATCCAACAATGGTTACATTGTTAGAGAGCTACCAGAGAGTGAGGCTGGATTCATAAGAACTAGGATATCACCACTGACATCAGATGGATCTTGGCTGAAAGCATAGCGCACCAGAAAGATATTTGACTTGTGCAATATTGACTATGCCAAGGCACACAACTGTGTGGATCCTAACAAACTACAGCTAACCTGAGAAGAATGGGAATTCCAGAACTCTTTATTGTGCTCACGGGAAACTTGTACGTGGATCGAGAGACAGTCATGGCAGCAGAACAAAAGAACACTGCGTGGGTTAAAATCAGGACTGGTGTGTGTCAGTGTTCTATCCTCTCATCCTAGTTATTCAATCATCAGAGAAACTGGATCCCATGAAGAAGGCTGTGGCATCAGGATTGGAGGAAGGCTTCTTAACAAGCTATAAGATGCAGATGACACAACCTTGCAGGCTGAAAGTCAGGAGGACTCGAAGCCGTTGCTGATGAAGATCAGGGATTATGGCTTTCTGTAAAGATTACAACTCAATATACAGAAGACCGGAAGCCTCACAACTGGACCAATAGGTAACATCATGATAAATGGAGAAAAAGCTGAAGTTGTTACAGATTTCACCTTGCTTGAACCCACGATCAATGCTCATGAAAACAGCAGTCAGGAGAGAAAGGATGCACTGCACTGGGTAAATCTGCTACATAAGACCTCTTTAAAGTGTTGAAAACCAAGGATGTTACTTTGATGACTAAGATGTGCCTCACACAAGCCATGGTACTTTTAATTGCTTCATATGCATGTAAACCCTGGACACTGAATAAGGAAGACCAAAGAAGAATCAATGTGTTTGAACGGTTGAAAGTATTTTTGGCACAGTCTGCCAAAAGAACCAACAAATCTGGATTGGAAGAGGACTAGCTAGAATGTGCCTGAGAGGCAAGGATGGCAAGACTGCCTCTTACATACTGTGGTCATGTTGTCAGAAGATACCAGTCCCTGGAAAAGGACATCATGCTTGGTAAAGTCGAGGGGAAGTGTAAAAAAAGGAAGATCCCTAACAGGATGATTGGCACAATGGCTGCAACTAAGGGCTCACACTTGAGAATGATTGTGGGGATGGGGCAGGACCTGGCTGTGTTTTGTTCTGTTCTGTTGTGCACAAGGTCACCAGGACTGGGCTCTGACTCATTGGCACCCAGGGACAACAACAGCATGGCGACTTTTATTCTCCTTTGGGGGAGTTGAGTAGTTGTGACAGAGAGCATGCGGCGTCCAAAGCATAAAATAGTCACTACCTTGTCCTCATCTGCATGGGGGAATTGGGCATTCAATAAGGAAGACCGAAGAAGAATCGATGTGCTTGAAGGTACCGTGGGCTGCCAACAGAACAAGCAAATCTGTCTTGGAAGAAATACGGCCAGAATGCTCCTTAGAAGCAAGAGTGGCAAGACTTGGTCTCATGTCCTTTGAACACGTTATCAGGAGGTCCCCGTCCCTAGAGAAGGGCATCCCATGCTCAGTGAATTAGACAAAGCTTGAACTCACTGCCATCAAGTCCAATCTGACTCATAGTACCACATGCGACAAGATAGAATTGGCCCTGTGAGCTTCAGAGAGTGTAACTTTTTTAAAAACAGTTTTATTGGCACTTAATCAACATATCACACAATTCAATAGTTGGATTATAATAAGAGTTGTACAGTCATTACCACAATCCATTTTTGAACATTTTCTCCCCACTCCCCACTCCATCCCATTGGTTAATTCACTCTTATACGGAGTTGTGCAATCACCATCAGTTGTGGCCCCTTCCCCCTCCCACGAGACTGTAACTCTTTATGGGAGTAGAAAGCCCCGTCTTTCTCTAGTGGAGCAATTGGTGGTTTTGAACTTCTGACCTTGCTATTAGAAGCCCAACACATAACCACTATAGCACCAAGGGTCCTTGACAACGTAGAGGTGCATCAGAAAAGAGGAAAGAACTGGGCAAGATGGACTGACACCCTGACTGCAACAATGGGCTCAAGCACAGGAACAAGTGTAAGGACTGGGCGGGGTTGGCTTCTGTTGTGCTTACGAGGACTCTGTGTCAGGAACCGACTCACCTCCACCTCACTGCCACTGAGTTGATGCCAATTCATAGTGACCCCACAGAGCAGGTAGAACTGCGCTGCGAATTTCCAAGACTGTCACTGTTTGAAGGAGTGGAAACCACTAGTCAGAGCATCTGGTGGATTCAAACTGGGCACCTTGCAGATCACAGCCCAAAGCGTAACCACCATGCTATCAGGGCTCCTTTCCTGAACAGAGGGTACCCAACCACCACCACTACCACCAACTGGTCCTTAACAGAAAGTCTGCCTCACCTTATATAAAAACCCATTGGTTTTTTGTTTTTAACAGCATTTAACTAATTTCTTACAGTACATGCACAAAGGCTACCTCAAAATAACAGAACATTTTTTATACTGAAAACCCATGAACACATGGTTCCTCAAAGTGTGATCTGGGACCACTTGCGTTAGCCTTGCCCTTGAGGACTTTCTTGAAAATTCTGACATATGGAAAACGTCATGAGGAGGCTAATGAGTCAGACTCCTACAGGTGGATCCCCAGGAAGCTTCCCTTTCATGAGCCTCCGGCTGATTCTAATGCACTCGAATATTTGACAACTCCCCCAGAGCTTGTTGGATTTTTTTCCATCTAACGGATGCTGGACTCTTCCTATATTCATCTATAGAAGCGTCATCTTAAGGAAAGGCTGGTGTTAACCAAGAGTCAAGACATACCTTCTCTGGTGGATGGTTAGCTATGAGGGCCGTTGCCTTTTCAGTAAATATGTTTGTTGAGTACATATTTTTATATCCAGTTGCAACTTCTTCCCCATCTCGCAAGTCCAGCGCACACCGGGTGGCATTCAGGGCCTCGATGAAGGTACAGCGCTCATGGGAATAGTAGTCTTCGCTCCCCAGGAGATAGCCTTCAACAAGAACGCCACGTCAAAGTCGCCAGCGGAGCATCAAGCTTGCTCAACAAATTCATGTGTCAGCATTTAATTGCCTAATGCAATTGATTACCTGTGACAAGGCTAATCCAATGACAAGGCCAATCAGAAAACCACTGCTTAACATCTCTATATCTGCTAGTCAAAGGCTAGCAAAAATGTGATTGTGTAAAAATTAACATTCTTCATTCAAGGTCTTTGGAACACAAGCTCTCTCATCTAACAGTCAAAGGATGTGATTGATTTCAATTAGATACGCTTTTTAAAAGAAAGACAAGGGGCCCTGGTGGTGCTGTGACTGTGACATATTAACCACAAGGTTGACCGTTCGAACTCACCAGTTGCTCTGAGGGAGAAAGATGAGGCTGTCTGCCCTCGTAAAGATTCATAATGGAGAAAATCCTAAGGAGCAGTTCTACTGTCTTCCAGGGTCACCATGAGTCAGAATGGACTCACCAGCCGTGGGATGTTTAGGCTGTATTTCGTCTTCTAAAGAGCAGAGTGAATATTCAATAGTGATGATAACATCTTTGTCTTTGCAAGCCAGCTAATGGCATAAAGCAATCTATGGCTAATGTGATTTGCTGCCAGATTTTCCTGTGAGGTGATCATATAAATAAACCCAGGATTCAAATAATGCTGTGCTTGGCATGCTGAGCTTGCCTTCAAGGAAAGAGCTCTGGGAGTCATCTTTAATTAGATACTGACACCCACTGGTGAGGAGACAAACCTTCCCAGACGGAGGAGCACTCCGGCCACAATGCAAAAGACCAGGGAAGATCCACCTGAACTACAGCCCTGAAAGGAAATATCTCTACCTGCAGTGATCACAAATTCTCCCCAAATGCCTATCCCACCATTTAGACCGAAAGAGACAAAAAGGAGTGATTTCCCAACAAATCGCAACTGTATCTTCCTAAAATATTCACTTAAGCTGTGCTCAAAACAGAAATGTGTAAAGCTTGCCCAATGGCAAACTGATTTTGCTGGGTAAACTTTCAACCCAAGGGCAATAAAAATGAATCGGTGATATAGCCAGTGCTACAGAACAACAGTCAGTCAGGTCAGCTGGGCTGAATGTCCAGAGCTGGCATCTGCAGAGACAGAAAACAGAAGTGTGATTTCCGATGGTGAGATGGAGTTGGGGGGAAGGCAGGGAGTGAGTGTTAAGAGGTATAGGCTCCAATTTGGGGGTGATGAAAATGGGTTCTTATGGTATGTTATGATAGTGGCGCAATCCTGTGAATTTTTTAAAAATTCAATTATACATTCTAATAGGGCAAAAGATACAGCGTATACATCACACTTCTAGAAAGCTGTTAAGACAGTGTAAAATATGAAAATATACATATAATTTATTAAGGGTTCATGAGGGTGGTAGGGGTGGAGGGAGGGAATAAAGAGGAGCAGATATCAAGGGGCTCAAGTAGAAAGAAAATGCTTTTAAAATTATGATGGCGGCATCAGTACAAGTTCCCTTGATGTCATTGATTTATGGATTGTTATAATATCTGTAAGAGCCCCCAATAAAATGATCAATACATTTTCTTTAAAGAAAACAGAAACAAAAAGCTGTTGAAGAGTCATAAGCTAAGCTGGATTTTTTTTTAACCTCCTGACAAATACTGATTAGTAAGCTAAACATGGGATGATAAACTTGGCACTTTCTTTTTTTTATCGTTGTATTGGGGGCTCATACAACTCTTATCAGGGTCCATACACACATCAATTGTGTAATGCACATTTGTACTTCCGCTGCCCTCACCATTCTCCAAACATTTGCTTTCTACTTGGGCTCTTGGAATCAGCTCCTCATTTTCATTTTTTCCCTCCGTTCCCACTCCCACTCCCTCATGAACCATTGATCATTTATAAATTATTACTATTTTATCATATCTTACACTGCCCGTCTCCCTTCACCCACTTTACTGTTGTCCAACCCCCAGGGAGGAGGTTATAAGTAGATTCTTGTAATCGGTTCCCCCTTTCTACCCCACCTTCCCTCCACCCTCTCAGTATCGCCACTCTCACCACTGGTCCTGAAGGAATCATCTGTCCTGGATTCCCTGGGTTTCCAGTTCCTATCTTCACCACTACACATCCTCTGGTCTAACTAGGTTTGTAAGGTAGAATTGGGATCATGATAAAGGGGAGGGGGATTGGATTTAAGAACTAGAAGAAAGTTGTGTGTTTCATCGATGCTACACTGCACCCTGAGTGACTCATCTTCGCCCGGCTGCCCCTCTATCTCACTGCCAAGTCAATTCCAATTCATCGCGACCCTATGGAACAGTATAGAGACTAGAGTACTTTATGGGAGCTGAAAGCCTCATCTTTCACCTGGTGGTTTTGAACTGCTGACCTAGAAGTTAATAGCTCAACAGGTAAAATTCTCCCTATTGTCACAATTAAGAGCATCTCTGGCTTATATAATAAATGAGTTCATTTTAAATTAATTGCTCCCTTCCCATGATAAACAAATAAATTCAAAGTCCTGAATATAATTAATACCTTGGTATAAAGACAATTTTGCTACGTGATCCAATTTTATGCTACACTATGAAAGAAACAGAAAGCCAATACAAATGTAATGGGGAAAGAAACGCTTCCATACAAGCCATGGCAGCCATTGTGTGGGTGATTAGTGAGCATCTGGATGCTGGGATTTGGGGTTTGTAACATAATGGAGTCAGCTTTGGGCTGGTGACGAAGATCGTTGGATCAGACCCATCAGCCTCTCTGTGGGGGAAAGATTAAGTTGTCTGCTCCTGTAAAGATATAGTCTCAGAAGCCCTATATGCGGCTGCACTGGGTCAGAATCAACTTGATGATAATGGGTTGGGTTGGTTTGGGTGTGGATTTCGTCTGCTCCCCTGTCCTACCTTGGAAGCCCCCAAGGTCCCTGAGAGTCAGAACAGACCTGACAGCAGCATGTTTGGGGGGTCTGGATGTTAGGGACTAAGGCAATCACCTTGGGGTCTTCATCTCTCAAGATAAACTATTCTCTAACATCTGGGAGAATATGCACCTAAGATATTCCTGATTAAAAATGTATGAACTCTAAATATATTTTTTAAATATTTCTAACAGGAGGTCTCCTATGAATATAGTAGAACTATATTTATCCATATTCCGGGCCAACCTGATCCCAAGCAGCCATGTGGCAATCACAGAGCTCTACATCCCAGCAATGACTCACACATCAGAACTGGTACGGGGCGCCTAAGAAGATGACAGCCTATATGCTCTTAGGGGAAATTTTTTTGAATGATGAAATCTCTGTTTTATTTAATCTGGTGCTATTAAGAGCCAATTCATTCCTCTCTACCATGGTCCAGGGATGTGAACAGGCTTGGAGTCAGACGGGGAGCACTGTAAAGTTCACCATGGTAGATGCAGTTAGGTTAAAATGTAACACATATCATTTTATCTCCCTTCTGACCCACTTTAAAATTGTTTCAGTCTACAATATTTTCTTGCTTTCTTTTCAATTGAGGTTTTTCACAGTTTTATTTGGTCATCGTTATGTTGTTTGTTTCTTAGTTGTGTTTCATGATTTTCTGTATATGAAGTTTAGGATAGATGAATCTAAAGAGAAAGTAACTGGATTAATAATTACTTAGGTGCTGTTATGATAGTAATTCAGCTTTTTAATATGATTGAACTTTTGAATTGAATGATATATTAATTATGTGCCAATAAAACTGTCAAAAATATGTAATATTCCCTAAGGGTATGGGGGGGCAGGAATAGGAAGCCAACAATAATGAGTACAAGAAAGAAGAAAATGTTGCGAAATTGTGGTGTTGATTGCATAACTCTTCTTAATATGACTGAATGATTCAATTGTGTAATATGCCAATAAAACTGTTTTTTAAAAGAAATAATCTGTACTGTACAACTCACCCACTAACAGTATACATTCAAAGGCTTTTAGCGTATTCACAGAGTTACGCACCACACCCCAACCATCTGCCTGTGCTTAGCAGCACTGCTCCGCTGAGCACCCATAAGAGATGCAGCGTCATTATGCGCTCTTCTAGCTCCAAGCCTCTGACTCGCTCCCTTCCACAGGAACATGGGGTCTCTCTCTGTTCATCTCAGTCTGCGCTAGGCTTCCTAATTCTCAAAGCGGGGCACCATTTCTACCTTCTGCCCGAATGACTTTTTCAAAGTATAACTTGGCTTTTACATTCTGACCTGTCTTTTCACAGAAGCCTTATTGAGAAATTCAAGTGTTTAACTAGTCTCTTCTGACTCAGAGCAACCCTAGAGGGCGGGGCAGAACTGCCCCCATGGGTTTCTGAGACTGTACCTCTTCACAGAGAAGAAAGCCTAGTCTTTCTCCCTCAAAATGGCTGGTGGGTTTGAACTGCTAACCTTGTAGTTAGCAACCCAAAGCATAACCACTATGCCTGCCACCAGGTCTCCACAGAGGCTGCTTGAGCTGTGAATTCTGCTCAAATATATCTATGATGACAAAGAAATCTTACACCCAAGTTCAATTTTTAGTGGTCATTTGAGGAGCCTCCGGGTATATCCATGGTCACCAAGGAAGAATGCCATTAGGAATATGATTGAACCAGAGGCCCCGGAGCGGGGCAGGCATACACACAGATGTCTCTGCAGCCTGATTTTAACCCTGCTTCCAACCAAGGACGCCAGAGCTGTGTGCTTGTCCTGCATTGGCGTACCCTCCAGTCACTTTTGAGGAACCGTGGCGCTACAATGGACTTGGTCTCAGGCTGCTAACCACAAGGTCAAAGGTTTAAGACCTGCAGAAGAAAGATGAGACGACCTGCTGCCGTCATGATCTACAGCCTCGGAAACCCTCTGTAGCACTGGCTCCCAAACATATTTGACCGGCCACCCCCTTCTCAGAAGGAAAAAAAATCACTCAGTGCCCCGCTGGCAAGTAAACACTTGTGTACTAGAGCCCATAATCTAGAATGCAACACAGGGATCTGCTGTGGGAG